AATTAACCAGTTTTTAATTGAAATACATACATACATTTATTAGTATAACATCACATTTAAGATAAGACATAATCAACAATAGTACGCCACAATACTCGGTTTGCGGCTGCCGCTCTCCATCCTCGGTCATGCCCAATGTTCACTAGATCACGCTCTACCGTTCCGCCCATCGTGCTCTCTGCGCTCCACGCCTTCTTGTGCCAACCGGATCAGAACATACCCTGCCCACCGCATCCTTCCGGCTTTAGCCACCTTCTGGATGCTGGGGTCGCCGTAGAGTGCAGCGAGCTCGTGGTTCATTCTTCGCCGCCACTCACCGTTCTCCTGCACACCGCCGAAGATCGTCCTTAGCACACGTCGCTCGAAAATTCCGAGTGCTCCTCGAGCATAGTCCATTTCTCGTGTCCATAGAGGACCACCGGTCTTATTAGCGTTCTGTACATGGTACATTTGTTGCGGGGGTGAATCTTTTTTGACCGGAGTTTCTTCTGGAGCCCGTAGTAGGCACGACTTCCACTAATGATGCGCCTTCGTATTTCACGACTCACATTGTTGTCAGCCGTCATTAAGGATCCAAGTTAGACGAATTCCTCCACTACCTCGAAAGTATCCCCGTCTATTGTGACATTACTTCCTAGACGAATCCTGTCATGTTAGGTTCCGCCTACTAGCATGTACTTTGTTTTTGACGCACTCACCACCAGTCTGACCTTTGCTGCTTCGTGTTTCAGGCGGGTGTATAGTTCTGCCACCGTTCCAAATGCTCTTGCGATAATGTCCATGTAGTCCGCAAAGCACACAAATTGACCGGATTTCGTGAAAATCGTACCCCGGCTGTTGAGCCCGGCTTGTCGCATTACACCTTCTAGAGCGATGTTGAAGAGTAGGCATGAGAGTTCGTCACCTTGTCGCAGTCCCCGGCGAGATTCGAATGAACTGGATAGTTCATCCGAAACCCTTACGCAGTTTTGTACACCTTCCATCGTTGCTTTGATCAGTCTGATCAGCTTCCCAGAAAAGCCGTTCTCGTCCATGATTTTCCATAGCTCTGTGCGGTCGATACTTTCGTATGCCGCCTTAAAGTCGATGAACAAATGATGCGTTGGGACCTGGTATTCACGGCATTTCTGGAGGATTTGCCGTACGGTGAAGATCTGGTCCGTTGTCGATTGGCCACGAACTCGGTCATTTTAGGTGATAGACGACGGAAGATGATCTGGGATAGCACTTTGTAGGCGGCATTCAAAATGGTGATCGCTCTGAAGTTCTCACATTCCAAATGGTCGCCTTTCTTGTGAATGGGGCAGATTACCCCCTCCTTCCACTCCTCCGGTAGCTGTTCTGTTTCCCATATCCTGACTATCATCCGGTGCAGGCAGGTGGCCAACTTTTCTGGGCCCATCTTGATGAGTTCGGCTGCGATACCATCCTTACCAGCTGCTTTGTTGTTTATGAGCTGCTGAATGGCATCCTTAACTTCCCTCAGCGTGGGAGTTGGGTCAGTTCCGTCCTCTACTGCACTGACGTAGTCGTTTCCTCCATTGCGCTGGTCTCCCGTGCCTACGTTCTCCTCGCCATTCAGGTGCGCATCGAAGTGCTGCTTCCACCTTTCAATCACCTCACGGCCGTTGCGGGATGCGTTGAGCTTCTGGTAGAACTTCCGTGTTTCTAGGGAACGGCACAGCAGTTCCATTTCCTCGCAGTCCGCTTCTTCCAGGCGGCGTTTTTTCTCCCGAAAGATGCGGGTCTGCTGTTTCCGCTTCTGTTTATACCGTTCCACGTTCTGTCGGATTCCATGCTGCAGCACTACCGTCCGCGCTGCGTTCTCCTCCTCCAAAATCGCTCTTCATTCCGTCGACTTCTTTCCACGTACCCGATGGTGCTCTCGGCTGCGTCGGTGATGGCTGCTTTTACTGTACTCCAGCAGTCCTCTAGAGGGGGCACATCGAGCTCGCCCTCCTCCGGCAACGCTGCCTCGATATTCTGCGCGTATGCTAAGGCGACATCCGGTTGCTTCAGTCGCTCTAGGTTGTACCGGGGGCGGGCGTCGGTACCGTACATTGTTGATGACGGAGAGTTTTGGGCGCAGTTTGACCATCACCAGGTAGTGGTCAGAGTTGATGTCCGATAATGTCGGAGAAGTGCCGTCCATCAATCAGAACGTGGTCGATTTGCGATTCCGTCTACTGTGCCAGGTGTAACGATAGGGGAGGCTGTGTTGGAAGAAGCGTATGGCCATGTTCTTGGAGGCGGCAAAATCGATGAGTCGTAGGCCGTTCCCGTTCGTCAGCTGGTGGGCGCTGAACTTTCCAATCGTCGGTCTGAATTCCTCCTCCTGGCCTACCTGAGCGTTTAGGTCTCCTATGATGATCTAGACGTCGTGGCTTGGGCAGCGATCGTACTCTCGGTCGACCTGCGCGTAGAATTCGTCCTTGTCATCATCAGTGCTTCCGGAGTGAGGGCTGTGCACGTTGATTATGCTAAAGTTAAAGAATCGGCCCTTGATCCTCAACCTGCACATTCTTTCGTCGATCGGCCACCAACCGATCACGCGCTTCTGCATTTCGCCCATCACGATGACAGCTGTGCCCAGCTCGCATGTGTTGCCGCAACTCTGGTAGATGGTATGATTACCTCTAAACGTTCGCACCATGGATCCTGTCCAACACACCTCCTGCAGCGCTACGATGTCGAATCCGCGGTCCTTCTGTAGATTGGCGAGTATTCGGGTGCTCCCGATGAAATTGAGAGATCGACAGTTCCACGTGCCGAGTTTCCAATCGCAAGTCCTATTTCGTCGCTGGGGTCGTTGCCGTTGGTGTCGGTTCGTATTCCTCTGTTGCTGATGTTCCGTTGCAATGCTTTTTTACGGCTGGCTCGCAGGGCCTGACACCAACCCTCTAGCTTTCCGGAGGACCAGGGTGCACAGTTGTGCTTAGAGTCCTTCACTGGCACTCGGACGTAGATCAGCCGCCCCTAACATGGGGAACAGACGCTTCCCTAAGGTTGCTCACAGTTCCCGGCCGGTACCACGGGGAGGTAGGGATAGGAGTTGCTGGGAAGAGGCTAGTGATCTCAATGGGATCTGTATTGCGCATTACCCAGCATTCACCAACCTTTTAATTGAAATAAAAAAATTGAAAAAGGGACCGACTGAAAATTTATCGAAAATAGGCCATTAAAAATTTGACTTAAGAAATTGTGCAGCTAGAAGTTGACTTATTTTAAAGTAAGTACATTTGAAAGTTTTCCGTTAATCATGTTTTGCGCACTAATTATCAATGATACCGACGCCAGGAAGGCAGCTCCCACACCTGGACCCTATCTATCGACCCGTTAACTCATGTACCAAAGTTTCATACAAACCGGAGAAGGTAAATTTATTCGCTATTTTGCCTGGAGCTGCTGTAATGTGAAATTGACCGATGGAGAATTGATCGTTGGATATCTGACCAATTGATAACTGACTTATTAAAAAAAATATCGATTTAAGATTGACTGATTGAGTATTTCCAATGTAGAACTTACCAATTGAAAGCAGATCAATTCTTCTTTATCTTACAGAAAAACTATCAACTTAAAATTTACTAATTGAAAATTGAGCAATGGAATATTGAAAAATATCAGTTGGTCTACTGAAAAATCAACCAATTGAAAATGAAATATTTGAAAACCAAAACAATTAAAATAATGTCATATACCAAAAAAAAACTAACAGCACCAATTTTACCGTGAATATCCATTACTCAACAAGTCTCCCTCCATCTCGGAGAAGCACTATTCGCCAGCAGCAGAAGCCCTCCAGCTGAATCCATCTCAAACTTGAATAGAAATCAATGTAAGTGGAAATGTTGAACAAGCACCGGCACCAGCTGCAAAATCATGTTCAGTGATACGTAAATCCTTTCAAATCCGGATGCTCTCGAACTAGCACTAGCACGGCGGCAGCATTCCTTCTACCGACGACGGCTCGAATCAATCACGCTCTCGTTCGGTGGAGTTCTTGTTTCACCCTCGGAACATCGGAGATTATAACCGAGTAGGAACCGCATCTCAATATTTCCTCAATATAACTCCAGTTCAGTTCAATCGATACAAAATTCCCGATGCTAGCGCATAAATCACTCGGCTCCGACACACAAACACAGTAATGCTAGATGCTTACTCTCGAGCTAGAGTGGCTTACCGTCATCGGAGCGGGTGGTGACCTATAAACGATTCCAAAGCCATAGGAGGAAGGGAATACCTCTACGTACGATGCGGAGAAATTCTCAGCTCGTCGACGAATCCTACCAGCCAGGAACCGAAACCGCCATCGAAAGTTATAGATTATATTGCCAAGAGGATATCTATAATTGAATTTATAGTTTTTTCCGTTCCTGGCTGCCTCTTTGGGTACTTCGCCTAACGGCAGAGAGGAGGGTTTTTAGAAAGGCAGTATATCTGTTATATCTGTTTGCTCATATATCTCTGGGCTAGTTGAGTTCCTTCCGGGAAGATCTATTACTGTGGATAGGAAGCAAGAAGGTGCTATGCATTGTTTTCCGCACGGATGGCAATTTCCTTCACCTCAACCATTGATTGCAAAACTGTCCCAACAGCTTCATTTGCGGTACATCGGCTAACAACGTCTGTATAGCTAGCGAGGTAGGCGGAAATGCATCCACTCGAGAAGATAGTTACAAGAATGTTTTCTTCTGCCTTCTGCTAGCGCGCCTTGGAATGAGGCAAGTCGACATCAAGACAGTTTTACTATTTGTTGACCTACTTTTAGTTACAACGAGGAGGAGCTCGAAAGTTGTAGGTACCTATCAGCAAAGCAAAACAACCACCATCGGAATGTCGTTTGGTTCTTTAAATGGGATTTCCTGGAGCGATGCTCGTGGAAAGAACTTTTGTCAACATCGATGGCAAGTTACGCTATGGATTCGAACTCCCGCCCGCATCCTTTTTTTGGTTTCAGAAACCTAACCAACCATTCGTATCACCTCCCATTGCAGGCCTACGTGGACCTGGTGGCAGCTTGGGGCTGGAAGTCCTTCACCATCATCTACGAAACGAACGAGGGCCTGGTGCGGATGCAGGAGCTGCTCAAAGCCCACGGTCTGTCCGAATATCCCATCACCGTCCGGCAGCTGAGCGATTCCGGCGACTACCGGTAAGTTCCCCATATTTTGCTTAATTTACACTTGTACTACAAACTCCTTCCCCCACCCCCCACCTTCCCAAAAACAGCGACAGCAAAACCGAGCGAAAGCTCTCCTGGCCCAGAAATTAAATTAAATCCTCTCGAGTAAATTTAATTTGAAATTATTTATAAAACTATAAAGTAGGTACTTGTGTGTTTGCATTGGCGGCAGGATGATGGTGCGAGCGAACGCCAGGCACAATATTCAACGAGTTTCAACTCTGGCTCGATGGGAAAGTGGAATAGTTCAAGCTTTATTCCAGTGCATGCTGCAGCTCAGCAGCTGCATTCGCATTAATGATGCCGGGGAATTTGCGCGGGTTTCTTTTTTTTTCTCGTTCCGTTGTTGTTTGCCAGTGCACACGAAATCTGCTCATTTTCACACTCCCTGCCTGGTTCTGATCTGCCCCGCACAGACGGGGGGCCGGCTTCGGCTGGTGTGCTTTAGATGCGATTATCGTTTGTCGGGCACAAACTAGCTGCACAGTATTTCGGGGGAAGTTGGTTGGATGGTCGTTAAATCGCTGTTGTACTTCATTAAGGTTTTGCGTGACTTTTTTTTTGCCCCCGGAAAACAGTGATTCGAGGGTTCTCGAGATTTAATCTAGTGTTTGTACAGAGACAAACAGATGTATCACTAACCAGTGCCATCTGATGAGCAAACTACGTGATACAGAGAGTTGAGAGTTGTTACTACGATAGTAAAAGAATTTATTTTTTTAAAGAAGCAGGTGCTTGTCTCATTCACTGAGCTCTCCTGCGCAACAATCACGCATGAGATAACAAAAACAATTCAAACGTTGACAACATGTTTTGTTAATTTGCCATAAAATCAGTTTTGAGAAAACATCAAACCATAAAAACTCGCGAAAACGAGATCACGCTTTTGTGTACTAGGTTTAAGATACCGTGATAGATTAAGCGAGGGAAAGGACGAAATACAACTTGATGCTTTCGAGTCACAAAACTTATTAATCTATATTTCATGTTGCCTCACAACTATCGTCGTGCCGAGTTTTCTCGAAGATTGACATTTGGTTGACGTTCTACGTCAATTATATCGAATGCGCAAGGACTTCCATAAACCGTCGTCAGCTTTGGAGTTCAGTTAATCTCCTTCCATCTCCAGGTCTAATACTGGCCGATATGAACTCACACGGTACTGGCTGGGGCGAATGATACGATGACAATAGAGCGGGTATTTTCTATGATTTGTGCGACGATTTCAACTTGACTATCTTGAACACTGGTGAAGCAACACGCATAGCAAAACATCCTGCTCGAGAGAGCCGTCTTGACATAGCTTTGTGCTCTAGCTCACTATCATTAGATTGTCTGTGGAAGGTTATCAATGATCCCTATGATAGTGATCTCTTACCAATTATTTCAATCAAAGGTGGTCGTCTAAAAACGGATCAGTCAATTCAAGTTCCTTTTGACCTCACGAAGAACATTGATTGGCAAAAATTTGTATCGGCGGTAACTCTTGGTTTTGTAACTACTGATCCTCTGCCACCATTATTGGAAGAGTATAGGTTCTTTACCGAACTGATCTACAAATGCGCATTAGAAGCTCAGAAACGACGTGTTCCAAGTGCATCCTTCAAAAGAAGGCCCGCCACCCCTGGATGGGATGACGAATGCACAAAGTTGTATCTTGAGAGATTCGTAGACATGAAAGATCTGAGCTTTTTGAAAAGTATCATAAGCTTGGAAAAAAGCTTTAAAACTTACTAAAAGCAAAGAAACGACATAACTGGCGTATGTACTTTTATCGAGGGACTTCCTAGAGAAACCTCGATGACAACGCTTTGGAAAAAGGCTCGCTATATGCGAAACCGCTCATCTTCCAATGAGAGTGAAGAATACTCCTCCCAATGGATATTCGACTTCGCTAAAAAGGTTTGTCCAGCCTCTGTACCAGCACAACCAACTTTACGGGATACAGCCCAAAGTAACGCTTTTCTGGATGAACGATTCACAATTATGGAATTTTCAATGGCACATCTTTCATCGAATAACTCTGCTCCGGGAAGCGATATGATCAAATTCGACCTTCTAAAAAACCTCCCCGATATCGCTAAAAAACGATTACTTAAATTCATTTATGAAATTCAATATAGTTCCACCAGCATGGAGACAGGTTAATGATCCTATCAAGACTTGACCATTGGGTTGAGCATGAGCATGATTGACCGCCCACGGTTACCTTACCTTACCAATCAGGCTAAGGCCTTGTTGTCCTCTGCTGTCCGAAGAAGTCGTCTCCACTCTACTCGATCCATGGCCACAGTTCGCCAGCCTCGTAGTCTGCAAAGGGTCCGCAGGTCACCTTCTACTTGGTCGATCCACCTTGCCCGCTGCGCGCCTCTTCTTCTTGTTCCTGTTGTTGAGTAGCAACCGATCAACTCTGTCCAAACAACAAGCATGTAGCAACCCATGAAGATTCGTGTCACTAATTTATTCATTCCTTCACAAACCTTCGTTCAATAAAGAAGTTCTTTTCCAATTGCTCTGCCTAGTTTATTAGGTTATGGGCCCAGAGCGGAACCGGAATCGATAGTGAAGTAACGGTCGTTTGATTTGTACGGAAGAAGACTTCAAGATGAGCGACGACAAACTCTGGCTGTTTAACGGCGAAAACTTCGGGAACTGGAAGTTCAGAATAGAAGTATTGATGGAAGACAAAGGCTTGCTGGAGTGTCTGGAGAAGGCTGTTGCTGACGAAGAGTACGCGAGGGAACTTCCGGGTGATACTGCTGAAGAGAAGCAGCGGAAGAAGAAGCTACTGGACGAGCGGATGGCCAAGGACAGAAAATGCAAGAACCTGTTAATTCACCGTATAGCCGAAGATCAGCTGGAATATGTGAAGGATAAGAAAACTGCGAAGCAAGCTTGGGATGCGCTCAAGAACGCCTTTGAAAGGGTCGGAATCGCTGGAAAACTATTCTTACGGAAGCAGTTTCAAGAGTTGCGGCTCAAGGAAGAAGAGAACGTCAAGTCATTTTTGCTCCAGTTCGAGAAGGTACTTCGTGAGATGAAAGCTGCAGGAGTAAAGACTGAAGAAGAAGACGTCGTCTGTCAACTTTTGTTAGCCCTGCCGAAATCTTATGAAGCTCTGATTACTGCCTTGGAAACCATTCAGCCCGATCAATTAACTCTCAAATACGTCAAGAAACGTTTGTTGGATGAGCAAGTGAAGCGGTCCGGTAAGTGTTCAACGAATTACGAAGAAAACGGCAGTGGTGAATCTGCGTTCGCTGGAAGAAAAGCTGGCTACAAGTGTTACGGTTGCGGTCGTGTTGGACACAAGCGTGCTGAATGTCCTGAGAACCGTCAAGTCGACAGAAAGGATCGAGAGAAGAACTGGAAATCTGGAGGCAAATTTGGACGACGGCAGAAAGCTGGAGCGAATGTTACGAGCGAAAATGAGGTGGCCTTCATTGCGACTACGAGCGCTGGCAGTGGTGCATTGCTGACTTCGTCGAAGAATCGGAAGATAGAGTGGTTCCTGGACTCAGGCGCCACTGATCACATGTTGAAAGACAAATCGTTGTTCGAAGAATTACATTCGTTGAAGCGTAAAATGCACATAGCTGTTGCGAAGTCTGGCCAAGTTATTGTTGCTGAAACCGCTGGTACCGTAAGAGTGGATATGCTGGTCGATGGAAAGAAGCAACCTGCCGTGGTAAACGAGGTATTATACGTGCCGGAGCTACAATGCAACCTGTTTTCGGTGCGGAGATTGGAAGATAATGATATGACAGTCAAGATCGTCAGCGGAAAGGTGACTATAGAAAAGGACGGTCGTATTGTCTGTACTGGTCGGCGATCGCCAAGATGGTCATCTTGGCGCAGGTAATCTGAAGAGTCTGTGGAAGAATGCGATGGTTGAAACTTCTTCGAAAATTCAAGACTGGCCAAATAGTTGTATCTGCGAAATATGTTTGGCTGGGAAGCAGACTAGGCAAGCATTTGAAGAATCGACGGAACGACGTTCAAGCCGACTGCTAGAATTGGTCCACTCGGATGTGTGCGGACCATTCACTCCGACTACCTGGAACGGAAAGCGATATTATGTAACGTTCATCGATGATTTTAGCCACTTCACCGTAGTCTATTTGTTGGAGTCAAAGGACGAAGTTCAAAAGATGTTCGAGCGTTACCATGCCCAGGTGACAGCATTCTTCGGCGTGAAAATAGCTAGGCTCAGGTGCGATAACGGAGGAGAATACAGCAGCAAATCGTTTCGAAGTTTCTGTCGTGCTGAAGGAGTTCAACTGGAATTCACGGTGCCGTACAGTCCACAACAAAATGGAGTATCAGAAAGGATGAATAGAACACTGTCGGAGAAGGCCCGGTCGATGCTGCAAGATGCTGAATTGTCTAAATCAATGTGGGCGAAGCTGTGCAGACTGCTGCATATGTGTTGAACCGAAGTCCGACGTCTGCTCTTCAAGAAAAGAAAACTCCATATGAAATCTGGTATGGCAAGAAACCAAACGTGGACAAGGTGCGCGTTTTTGGATCGATTGCGTATACGTGGATACCCAAAGAAAAACGTGACAAGCCGGACTCTAAAACCTCGAAGAATGTGATGGTAGGATATACAACGAATGGATATCGCATTTGGGACCCTAGAACAAGGAAGATATTCACGTCTCGTGATGTTGTGTTCGACGAGCGACAAGTCGTTGAAGCTACAGTGAAGTCGATGCCGATGCCATTTGGAGATAATGATTGCCGAGAGGAACAACTAGAAACAGAAGACGTTCAAGACGAAATGGAAGAACCAACCGCAGACGTTCAAGTGATTGACGAGCTGGAGGAACCAATCGACGTTCAAGTTGTTGACGAGGAGGAGGAACCAACCGGCGCGCTCCCTTCGCAACCAGAACGTGACAACTGCTCGGCAGAAGTGCTCACGAGGCATAGCGGACGGGAGCGCAGAATTCCCGGTAAGTTCCTTG